AATCACGTCGAGCCATTTTGTGTAGGAACCAACAAAGATCAAATAAGATTGACCGTTGATTGGTCCCGCATAATCCAAGTGGATTTTCTGCCAGAGCTTCTTCGAATCGGGCCAAGGATGCCACGAACATTTCGGAGGTGCCTTTGCTGCTTGTTGACACGATTCACAACTTTGGCAGAACTGCTCGATTTTTGCATCCACTTGAGGCCAATACACAAAACTTCCTGCCAGTGCCTTCATTCGGCTGGTTCCCGGATGTCCTGAATGAAACTGCGGTAGTATTCGCTTTTGCAACTTCCTTGGTACCACGAATCGGTCTCCAAACATTAGACAACTGTCAACGACCGAAAGGGATCCGCTTCGATTAAGTAAAGGTTGTAACTCATTCGAAATTCTGACATTAGGCCAACTGGACTTCACAAACCCTATCACTTTCAGCAAGCTATCGTCTTGAGCCGTCTCTGCACGAGTCGTGTCCGACATTACTGGCAACTCCCTTACGCTGTCAACCAGGATGCGCTGAAATTCCGACTCGAATTTGACAGATGCAATCTCGCAGTCATCGTTTTCCTTCAAGTGGGAACTGAGGAGGCGAGATAGAGCGTCCGCTTGGCCGAGTTGTTGTGTAGATCGATATTGTATACTGAAATTGTAAGCCAGCAGTACGGTTGCCCACTCTGTAACCGACTTGCTATGAAAACAGGAATACCCATCTTTGATCCAAATATCGAGAGTAGTAATAATAATAATGATGTGTCAGCTGTACTCCGTAACGGCGCTTCGCTGCCGCGCAACCACCATCAGTCGCGCGCGGGCTGAGTATACCGCGAGGACGCCCAACCCTACGCGGATTCGAACCGTTGCCCTTATGGTTGCAAAGCAAACTTGCAGACCACTCGGCCACCGGCCGACCAATATCGAGAGTAGAGGTTTGTGATCCGTGACCAGTTTGAGATGTATACCATATAGCATCTTTTGAAACCGTTTCACTGCGAAAACAATCGCCAGCGCTTCCTTCTCAGTGTGGCCGTAATTTTTCTCCGCCACTGTCAGCGACCGTGCTGCGTGCGCAATGGCCTTCTCTTCTCTTCCTGGGAACACGTGAGAAATGACAGCATCTACCCCATAATTGGAGGCGTCCGAAGAAACAACAATCTCCAAGTTTGGGTTTAAGTGGGTCAAAAGTAAATAAGAACTGAGCGCTGCTTTAACGATATCAAAGGATTTTTGGCACTCCTTTGTCCATCGCAATTGTTTCCCTTTCATCAGCAACTCGTTCACAGGATCTCTTGTCTGATGTAGACTTGGCAGGAAGGCACTATAATGACTTATAGGACCGAGAAATGAACGAAGTTCGCCAACATCCCTTGGTGGTGGCATTTGCTTGACGGCTTCTTTATTAGCGGGATCCGGACGTCGGTCATGTTTGTCAATGATGAACCCGAGAAGCTTGACACTTTCCATCAGGAAATTGCATTTTTCCGCCCGTAACCGGAAGCCAGCTTCTTCTAGACGAGTGAGCACTTTCTCTAACGTGGCCAGCAATGCTTGTGGGTCATACCATATAATCAATGCGTCATCCAGGTATACTGCGACCCCAGGGATATCGTTCAGCAGCGTATCCATGATTTGTTGAAAAATAGCGGGAGCAGTTTTCACTCCGAATGGCAACCGATTGTACTGGGAAAGACCCAGATGCGTGTTGACCGTCAGTAGTGTTCTGCGGTTCTCGGCTACTGGAACTTGTAAGTAAGCATCAGCTAGATCGAGTTTCGCAAATCATTTTCCAACGTTAAGCTTGGTGAACAAATCTTCAGGTATAGGAAAAGGGTACTGGTGATTCTCCAACATGGAATTTACGCCAGTTGAAAAGTCAGCACAAATACGTACCTTGCCGTTTCCTTTCTTTATCACAATGATGGGTGGCGCTCATTCTGAGTAATGTACGCGCTCGATTATGCCTTCTGACTGCAACCGATTTAACTCAGACTCCACTATTAGTTGTGTTGTGTTGCCTACGGCACTGGACGTTTTGGTTTAAAAACTTTTCTAGCGTCTGGTTTGAGGTTCAGCTCAGCTCTTGCTATCCGGCAGCATCCAAGACCGGGTTGGAACAAACTTTCGTGGCGTCGGTTCAGTTCTGCAATGTGACTGTAAAGTTCTTGGATCAAATTCTGCGTCTCTGTGCGTTTCTCGACTTGTAATTTCTGGCATATACTGTTAACTGACTGGTCAAGTAATTTTAATTCCTCCATCCAGTCGAGACCCAGCAAATTCAATCCTGGTTGATCTGTCACAAACAGGTTGTACGAATGTGCTGATCACGGAAACTGACTTGACAATACAACTCTCCGAGAAGTTTCAAAATACCGCCGGATGCGTTTCGTGCTATGTGGACAAGCGGTGGTCGTCCCAGCATACACCATGTGTCTCGACAAATCAGAAGTCAGACGCAGTATCCAGCTGCAGCTTAACCTCTTTATCATTGCTCTTCAACATTTTAAACTTACGCCTGCCGACACCGTCAACCTTGAAAGTTGCGCTCACAGTTTTGGCCTCGTTGTGACATCGGAAGCGCACCGGGATTCGATGCCGTATTACGCTCATTGTTGGTCGCTTCGCAAGACAACACGACTCTTTGTGTCCTCGCTTGCCACAACGATTGCAAATGTGATTTCGGTACGGGCAGTTTCGACCAAAGTACCATTCCCTGCAAAACCAACAAGCAGAAGTGTTTAGAATGTGGTGAATTCACATAAACCGATTCTTTCTAAGGACTTCGGCTGACCCTGCAAATGATGTCCTGGCTACTTTGGATGGATGACTGTTGGATTATCGCAGCATCATGTTTCAAGTTCATCAACCGTTGGCCTTCATTCCTCACTTCCTGCAGTGTGATCTCGGGATTTTGTTCAATTCTACTCAGTACTCTTGTTCGAGCATCAGCGTCTTTGGTTGCTTGAAGACCACACACACGCATTTGTACTGATCCGCTGTCATCTTGTGAAACAGCGACCGTTCACACTCACGATTTACGCGACTCGAGTAAGTAACCCAGTCTTCGTCCTCTCACTTGGTCATTGTCAGGCACTTGTATCGAATATCGAATAATGATGACTGCTCTCCAAATATCTGGGACAAAGTAACAACCGCTTCATCGAATGTTAAATCAGTGTTCTTTTTCGGCAAGATGAAATTCATAAACTTTTCATGCTCGGCCGCACCCGATTTCCGCAGCATGAGGCGAACTCTCTTGTACTCTGAAGCACCGGCTAAATCAACGCGAAACAGGTCTTCGTATTTATGGAACCACGATTCAAAGGTAATACCGGCATCGGCATCGTAACGGAACTCACAAACTTGCTGGGTCAAGGTTTCTGCAGAGGGGCAACGTTCATTTGTTCCTGTTACCCAGCCTGCTTGTAGTTACAAATTCTTGGTCAATGTTCCGATCAACTTGGCCTGTGCTTTTTCAAACTGCGCCTGCTGTTGCTGCAACAGAGTCTGCAATTGTTCAAAACTGACTGACATCTTTGGGTTCTTTTGACTCCTATCGCCATTGTTGTAAAGCTGCCTTCGTACTGCTGCACTGCTGCTATTCTACGCCTGCGAGACTACGACCGCCTGATTGCTCAGTCACGCGCCCAACCAACCGACGAAATACCGAAGGCAAAGCTCGGTAAACAGGGAGTCTATTCTACACGATAGGTCAGTTCTATTTATTGATGAACGAAACATACTAATTTTGGAAGCGTTTGGCTCTCAGCCAATGTGAGTTAATTCCGTCCCACGGATTTTCCATATTTGGCGGAATGGTTCGCCTCCGTGTACTCGGGCTTGTATTTGCTGACCAATCAGTTTGCACCCGATTCCCAAATTTGGCAAAACAGTCGAAGGTCGTTCTACACTCGTGCTGGTTACCTTCGCATGTAGCAGACAGCTCACGTGCTCAGCGGTAAGTCTGTGTGGGACCTCGTATCTGGACATTGGCTCCGCTTACCTCTCTGTTAAGTCTTTACTTCTTATACCGGACAATCGCTCGTTTATGTGCATCGCGCGTCGTTTACACAGTTTTCATTAACGCGCGCTTGCAATCCATCGGTATATTAGTTGGATTGTGTTCGATTTCATCATTCTATTACTACACAAACACTGCTGCTCACGTTTTAATAACTGTTAGTTTTCCTCTTTTCATTTTCAGTTCTGTTCGGAAGCCATTAACATCTCTCTGCGAAGGCCCCTTCTAGGTGTTGTCACGAAAGCCCGTATATTTCATCCTGGAAAAGAATTTATCGAAGTAATCCGTGAGTATTGACCGCCTTAGATCTGCCTATGTTGCGCCCAATGTTGAATGTTCACATAGATTTACTGTAATTGATTTCGGCTTGTTGCTCCTGTTCGTCAACTGACCGACGTTGATGCATCAGTACCTTCGTGTGCTCGCTCAATCCTTGATTCCAGACACACGCATTTATGCCGTTTTGTTCCTTTCTCCCCTAAACCAGCTGAATTCGTTCTTTAGACAGCTTTATCGAGTCTTTCCTTAGCAGTTCACGTTCTACGGGGGGAGTTATGTATTGGTTATGCTTACATTTTTTATCTCTTGCAATTTTTTGAATTGTCGAAAAACTACTCGAATATACTTCTTTGAAATCCGCACTTCCGTCGTGCTGATTTTTTGCCGTGCTGCTGCTGCTTGTGAACGCTGCCTTCGTGTCTGCTTGAAAGCCGCACCTTTGGTGTGGGATTACAATTGAACGTCTGCTTCCATTGTGTTCGACATCCTCGACAGGTATATCGTTCGTCGTAGCCGGAACTTAACTTTGATTTGACTGTGAGTTTGCATTTCCTTAAATTTTTGCTCTTCCTAAGGGACTTAAGCATTCCCATATTTCATCGACCACTACAATTAGTTGAATATTGTTCGACTTTTGTCATTCTACCACACACACACTGCTGTTCACGTTTTAACAACTGTTAGTTTTTCTTTATTCATTTTAGCGCAGTATCAGAAGCTGGCGTTTCTTGGAAATGACCACACTTGTTGGGGAGAAGTTCACTTTCTACGGTTCCTATATCCTTCGGACACATATTGGCTTTTAGTGATGTTTTAAATTTCAATATCCGAGTCGGTCAACAACGGCTCTCTTCCATCGAGGACCATGCATTGCTCTTCTCTTGGAGATTTTTCCCTTGTGATCTGCGTGCCATGGTTCATCATAGAGTTCGCCTCGGCAGAACTGTGGTTTTCCACTGATGCCAAATTCGAAGACAAAGTTGTGCTGCCTGCCAGTGTGAGCACGCCCGTTCAACTTTCGTTGTTTTCCATTCGGTTTTCGCATGCATTCCCACACAGCTGAAGTGTTCTCTTGTTCTTACTTGGTTGTCCTACCTTAGCACTCATACTACAGTGATTAGTATATTGGTTGCTGGTACTGGTAACACGACACTGCTACCACAGATTCTGACCAAGCCAACTACCAAAACCGAATGGCAATAATCTTGATCCGAGAGATCCACCACTATACACTGTTTGTCTGTGGTTTCCGCTTTTGCCTCCACCGACCGCAGTTCCGATGCTGCGGGTGCTTTCTACCACGAACTGAACACGCTGTTTTACAGTGTTGCCAGTTCAGATATCGTTGTTATAGGGGATACGAATTCACAAACCGGTCTTCTGGGTGATAAGTATGAACTTAACTTCCACCGTACGGACAACCATGAGTGTCTGTTGCAATTGTGCACTGGCTGTTTCTTATTAGCACCGCTTTTAGACACAGTGAACGCCAAAGTGCCACTTTATCGTCCCCCTATAGCTGGCCAGCAGTAGACCCAAGTATATCACGTTGCGATAACTTACAGATGGCTTGATGCCATTTTGGATTGTCGTTCGTTCTGGAATACCTACGCCGACTTTGATCATGCCTTGGTGCGTTTTTCGTCTCCCCATGAACTTTACCGATAGACGCACGAAGCGCATCGCGCGACAAGCAATTGAGAAGTCATCGCAGTTCTCTGTCAGTCAAGGTTGCCATAATGCTCTGTATATCGAAAGACATTGGACTTTTTGGAATCGGATCTTGGATGCTACGCACGATGTTGGAGCTTGCGGCACTATCAGTCATCGCCACACCAGTCACCGGATATCCGAGATCTCGGTGAACCTGTTGGAGTCCAGAAGAAAACGTCATGCTGGCGCTAAGCACAATGTAGCCAAACGAAATATTAGGCGCGAATTAAAACGGAGCTTGCGGGCTTACACGGAAGTCTAGTGGATCAGTCGGGCTCAAGAAATGGAGGAGATAAAAGTAGGCAATTATGGCACTCTCTTTGATCCACTCCACTGGTCCCAGGAAACCGGGCGTCGGTGAGACAATTAGAGACAACGCGGGAGCACTGAAACACAATAAGGAGCGCCGCATGATTCGTTGGGCAGTACACTTTTAAGGGCAGTTCAGTTGGCGCCCTGCTCCGGGACCACTTGCTACTTATGGTCGGTTAGCCTAGAAGCGCCATCGGAGGCTGAGGTCCGAAATGCGCTCACAGCCCTTAATCGTTTTCGATCTGCTGGTCCTGATTCTGTCGTGTGCACTGTATTTAAGGATGGCGGTGTAGACCTTTGCAAACCACTGACCTCTGTTCTAACAGGTCTGGAAGGAAGACACTTCCAGCTAAATGGAATGTATGTAGTCTTTTTCTGAAAGATCGAGTCTACAGCGCCACAGTACGAGCAGTGCTCCTCTATGGCTGTGAGCGAGCGATGTTCAGACTCTTTATGTACGTGGGCAGCATCGCATCAGCAAGACAGCTTCCTAGCGGTTTTCACTGACCCCGCAAGTCACTCAAAACCACGCTTGGAACAGGCAGTCCCACTAGGAGACGACAGTGCACACACCACTGGTACCAATTGCGAAATATGTCCTGCAAAGTGTGGAGCCAAACACAAGTCGGGTCACGTGTACTCCAAACTGGAAGATAGAACGGATCATTAGCACTCAGTTTGGTCGTCAGTGACTTCATTTCCCGCTGCGAAGCCAACTTTTGTTTACCTCGGGCCTTGTGCCACATATATTTGACAAACAAAACAATACCCTCTTCGGTGACCGGGCATATGTAGCATGTGTACAAGCCGATGCAATTTATCAAGTGCTATCTGTCGTTCTGAGGAACAATCCTGATAATCACTACTTAGCACTCGCATATGCACTCCACCGCTGTAAACATGCTGGTGCCATCCGACGCCAGTAATGTTCCGCAGGCGGCGATAATCACAAACTTGAAGGTGCCTTAGACCTAAGAGGTCAAGTCTCACTCCCATAGTGTAGGACGACCCTCACTGTGGCCTTGTAAACAATCTTTCAGATCGAGGGGACCGCCATTCTGACGCCACAGATGTCGCACGTTCAAGAAGACAGTCCTACTTTTTGCAGTAGGTAAGCTGACTTCAGTGCATATGCGCCCATCGTTGCTGATGCAGTTGCTAATGCAGTGGAATCTATTAACTATCTAGAGTCCTGCGCTATCAAGAAGCAAGGAGTCGTCGTGGCTACTGGTCTCGCAACAACACACTGGAGGTGTGATTCGCATGCCAAATGATGGGATCACCCAAGAGAGGGTGTCCAGGGTTCATTACGTCGCCCCGACATCGTTAAACAACAAAACAATATCATCCTGATAATCGTGACCAACTATCCCTATAAAGCACCTCCACACCTTCATCTGAGGATCCGCAAGGGAACACCGCAGAATGGAATCCAAGACGAAGTTGAATAAAAATGGGGAAATTGGAGACCGCTTATGAAGGTCGGAAGGATGTCCGAAAAGTCCCTGTAGGGCCTGACGCGGTCTGTGCTGTTCGAGTGCAGAGCACACAAAATCCATACATTTCGTGGGAACACCTTTCCGCTCAAGTATTTCGTGCAGAATTGAGTGATCGATTGGGTCGACGCACACTTGAAATCAAGAAACACAGCTGTTATCGGTCTGCAGTATGCGTGGCGCTGCTCTGGCACTTGTCGCAGCGTGCATATGTGGTTTGTACAGCCCTGTTTAGGGCGAAAACCTACCTGCTCTTCCCTAATCCGTTTCACAGTGAGACGGCGAACAAGAATTGAGGCCAGTAGTTTTGTCTCCACTGGTGTTAGGCTAATACCCCTGTGGTTAGCACAGTCAGTGCGACTACCCTACTTTTATACTGCCACAATGATCGATTCACCCCAGTTATCCGGGACGGTCTGTTTCCTCAGGACATGCTCAAACATGGAAGTCTGTGCTTTGCAGGGGACCTCACCCCCATTCTTAAATAGTACTGGTGGGAGGGAATCCGGGCCAGCAGCGTGAAAACGATTGTGGGCTGTGACCGCGTCTGCCTAGCAACCCGTAGGTCTCGAATCGGAGTCTGCGTGGGTCAGCCCTCGCAATAGTTTCGTGGTAGCTATGCGTCCGCACGGCGTACTGCTGATGCCTTATTTTATTGCACTTTGCCAAATATTTAGAATTTCCTTTACATAGACCTCATGCTGTTGTTGGTGTAGCATTTATTGTGCTTCTTCGCCGCAGTTAGGCTAACGTGACACGCTTGTTTCGCAATACACTCTGTCCTCATCCATTAGTTTTATTTCAGGTCAGTTCAGCTGATCAGCTATGTTCCGAGCACCATTCATTCATTCATTATACTCGTTAGCTGCAGGTGGAAAACACCTCGGCTATTGTGCCGCAATACAAAGGACAAGAAGAAAAAAACGGTGGCACGCCGGCTGAATCCCCAGTAACGGATGGACCTCGTTCCGGAGAGCTCACAGCCAGCTATCGTGCCGCAAAAGGTTGGGTTATGCCTAACGAGTGCGATCTTGATTGGAGGGGGAGGGAGGGAGATGGAAAAAGGGACTCGCAACACAAACGCCACTGGGTTCGGCTCCTAGCCATATCAGCAAGTGTGTCCAATCAAAAGTGTTCATCGTCCTTAGGACCCCAGCCAGGCAGTCGGGATGCACCAACCGACGCCAACTTCAAAGTGAGTTTTCATTTCTCTCGACCAAGTCATCGCTTGGCCTCCCCTCCTCCTCTTCCAACCGCACCCACAACGCGCAAACAATGCACGTCGCGGGAGTCGGTGTGCTGGCATGCGCAACACGTGGCCCAGCCGTCTGAGCCTGGTGCGTGATATAATGGTGCTGAGCGGTTCACTCGCTCTTCCTGCACCAAATAAGCGACATCGAACACGCTTATTCCTCACGCGATGCTCCCACCAGACATGAGCTAAGCTGCGAAGGCAGCGCTGATCGAATGTGGCGGGCCTCTTTATGTCTGTCGACCTGATGGGCCAGGTTTCACAATCACATAGGAAAGTTGAACGGACGGCTGCGTTATACGCTCTGCCCTTGAGGGCGAGAGTAATGTCGCGTCTGCGCCATAGGTGGCGGAGATTGGCAAAAGCACCTCGAGCTTTTGCTATACGGTTCGTAATCTCAGATTCGATCCCACGGGTGCTAATATAGCTGCCCAGGTACTTGAATTCCTGAACAACTTCTAGCAAATCACCACAAAACGTTAGCGCAGGGGTGGGTTCCTGCCAATCTTGGAGAAGTACTTTGCATTTCGATGGAGCCAATCATAGCGCAAAACAATCGACAGTCAGTGGTAATCGGTCCAGTGCTGCTAGGCACCGAGCACGGAAGTGCGATGGATCCAGTTGTCACGACACACACCGGAAGAATAACAATAAATTGCACTGATAGGGGCTAGTGAGCTTGGGTGCAAGCAGAATATAGAGAAAATGAAAACACTAGGAAACTGCGTCAATCAGGACGGAACAAATATTAACAACAAGAGAAAAGAAGCCGAATGCAGGAACACCACTGACTACGTGACTGCACCATGTCTGACATCGCCTACAACCATTGGCGTGGACCATTCCGAGGTCCCCATCCAGGGGAACGCCACACACCAGGTTTACCAAGTGTGAGTCAGTTTCTTCAAATTTCTATGCAATGTCATGGACTGGCCACCTCGAGGTTTCGCCCAACTTGGTGTAGCCACAGCGTATAATGCACACCGAGGAAGCCGACTAACGGGCAAATTGGGACATGACCTAGCCAAGTAAGCGATTAAGATTCAGTAAACACTGGAGAATTCGCGCCAGAAACCAACTGGCAAACCTCAGCATTGCTCACCCGGTGTTCCCAGAAACGTGAGCAATACTTCGCAAACACTGCTGATCGAACCCGGCCAGCTGTTTAATGTCTTCATTGCGCACTGGTCATGTCTCTGATTCATACAATAACACTGGCCTTAT